TTTTTTTTTTTTTTCCGGTATGAGGGATTGAACTCAGGACTTCACACTTGCCAGGCAGGCGTGGTGCCACTGAGCTACATCCCCAGCCCTCTTTATTACTTTGAGATACTGTCTAAGTTGCTGAGTTGCCAAGGCTGGGCTTTAGCTTGCACTCCTTCGGCAGCCTTCCAGAGTGCCTGGGATTAACGGTGTGTGCCACCGTGCTCAGCACTTTTGTTTTATGTTTTTGAGACAGGGCTCATTCTGTAGTTCAGGCTGGCTTTGGACTCCAAGTAACTCTCTTGCCTCTCCCTCCTGAGTGCTGGGATTACAGAAGTGCGCCACCATGCCCAGCTGTTGATTTTGAAAGTTACTTTAAAAATTGAGAGCTTAAGAAAGCAGAGACCATATCTGGCTTGATGGCTTGAACACTGAGATCAGCTTCATCTCTATTTGCCCGGATTGTTTTGAAGCAAACCCAAAGTGTCACAGTATTTCATTCATAGATATTTGAGTGCCTAGCCCAAAATCATTTCCACAACTAACAAATAACTAAAAATTACTTAGCTGCTATTCATGTTTTTTGTTTGTCGCCTTTAAAAAAAATTTGGATCAAGATCCAAATAATGTCCACCTGTCTCACTGATTTATATATCTCACATTTCTAAAATGTTTTCTTTTACTTTTTTTTCTTTTTTAATTCTTAGAGTGTGTTTATGGAAGAATTGGGGGGGTCTGGGAAGTTTTTTTCCTTTTATTAGATTAATAAAGCCCTAATTTTTAAACCGATTCTTAGTTTTTTGGTATGGTATTGTACCTCATCATAGATGTAGCAAATTTGAAGGCCAAGCTTAAATCATATCTGCTTTTACTTCTTTTGCACCTGATGAATGGCCATCCCTTGGTCAGAAGGTAGTGGCCACCCCACTGGGGTGCTGGAACTCTCCTTGGTCGTAGGCCTCACGCCTGTCCTTGGGCACATGACCGTGCCACATCTGCCGTGTGCCCAGTTCCAAGCTGTTGCGTGCTTCTGTCTTCGCAGTACTGTCCCAGCTTTGTCATCCTGCTCCAGGGTATGGGCTCCCAGAGTCCCTGGGGCAGGAATTTCCAGCCTACTGCTGCGAGTGTTGCATGCTGCCCATTTGTGCCATCAGATCACGTTGTGGGGGCCCAGGGATTTAGATGGATGCCGCCGTCTGCCTTGCAAGCACAAGGACCCCAGTTCGATCCTTGGGAACCAAAAAAAAAAAAAAAAAAAAAAAAAGCCCAGATGAGGTTGTGGGGAAACTGGGCAGATGGGCAGGCAGAAGAAACTAAGGACATGCTATCTGGAGTTCCTGTGTGCTCCACTCTCCCGTCCTTGTCTTGATGCATTGGGAGCCTTATTTCACTGGACAGAAGTGGGGGTGTAGGACTGAGACCGGCTGAGGTGGGGGCTGGCACAGGGGGTGTCCTCTGTTTCGAGGGCCTGCCTTCTGAAGTGATGGGGACTTTGGCTTTTCCCTCAGCACATCGACAAAGTGTTCAAGCATAAGGAACTGCAGCAGCAGCTCGTAGATGCCAAACTTCAGCAGACAACGCAGCTGATAAAAGAGGCTGATGAGAAGCACCAGAGAGAACGAGAGTTTGTAAGTTGTTTCTTCAAAACAAAACAAGTCCCTGCCACATTTTAAACAAAGCCATTTAAAACATTTAAATTTACTCTGCATTTAATGTACCTGGGCATGCTAGTTTTTTTTTTGTCACAGAAAGCATTTACCTGTTTATTTCCATTTAACTTTCTGTATAGAAAATATACTGGAGAGGTTGGACCATGTTATTTTAAAGTCCTGCACTTGTCTGGTTTTTCTGTACTTAAGAGTATTTCTTTACTTCTTGGCAGGTTTAAGACAAATTTGGCAATTCAAGTAAACATCAAACTTTTAAACATTTCGTTTCCTGTATCTACCTCAGATTTTGCTTTTCAAACAAACAACGTCAAACTAGGGAAACCTTTGCTTACTTTGGTAGCAGTTTTTGATGACAAGTTCCCAGACTGTCTGTGCCTCGGTCCTTCAGCATTGCTCTTAGAGTGCGTGTTCAGATTCTGTTGCCCGTCATTACCTGGAGACAGTGACATCTCTCTCTGCTTGTCCAGAGCAGCGGCCCAGGGAGAAATGGTTAGAACATCCCTCCTGTGCTGCCATGCTTGTTCCTGCAGTGTGCTCCTGAGGTCCTGGCAAGGCAGCCATTGCGCCACTGAAAGGATGGGTAGCATTTCCAGGGCTAGAGTATAGATTTTACACACACACACACACACACACACACACACACACACACACGAGTTTTGGGCATGTACTTTCTGGGATTAGTTCAGTAGCACTTTTGAAGGGCTTCTTTGCGCTGTACGTGACATTTTACTTTACGCCCTGAATTTCACAACTGCCTACTCTGCAACTTTACTTTATAAATTTCTTAAAAACTCAAGTATAGAAATGAAAGCTCCCGTTCCCTCCTCTTTCAAAACAAAAATGTACAGAAAGTGGGTCCTGGATTTCATTACTGTGCTCCATACCCTTTCACCACCTGGTTTCATCTTCCTCTCAGGGAGTAGAGGGGCTTTGTTCCTCATGCAGATGTCAAGATTCCTAGCTGTGTTTCTGCTAATGATAGACATAAGTAGGTATTTTCAACTAAAAAAAATCCAACCCTGAGCTTTGTGAATCTTCTGAGGCCTCTGGCGTCCTCTCTCCACCGAAGCAGTAAGAGTGCCTGAGGACTGATGAGAGATGGCGGGAAACAGCCTCTCTGTAGACCGTCCTTACCCAGACCCTGAGTTAGAGGGGCACGGCCTGAGTGTGTGGTGGTTTACTATTCGTATTTTGCCAAAATGTTTCTATTTTCCAGTTACTAAAAGAAGCGACAGAATCGAGGCACAAATACGAACAAATGAAACAGCAAGAAGTACAGCTAAAGCAGCAGGTAACTGGACAGCAGGGGACAGAACTGGAGGAAAATTGTGAGGCTGGTTTGCCACCCACCTTGAGTGTCTGTCTTGTTGCTGTAAGGGGTCTGTCTCCCTACTTCCCAGCCAGAGTCGGCCAGACGGAGGGAGAGCTCACACGTCCCTCCTGGAGGGTCCTCTTCATTACAGGTGACCAGCTAACCCCCGTTTGCGGAGGACTTCCCTGGTTTTAGTGCTGCGAGTCCTGTCTCCTGGAAGCCCCTGCTTCCCTACCTCAGGCAGACTGGGGCGCTTGGTCACACTGTCTCCAGGGTCCCCTTTCCACAATACTAGATACTTCCTGCTTTCTCAGTCTGTTTTCATCTGTCACCTGATGTCCCACTTAAGGGAAATTAATTTTCAGATATTACTTTTTTGGTATCAAGTGGATCTGTGAAATCAAGATACTGAAGAAGTCAAGATACTTCTTTGACCTATACAGTGGTAACTTCACAGTTTAGCAGAGTGACTTCCATGTAAGTGTTGCAGAACCTCGCGAGGCCCGCCTTACAGTTTGTCAGTGGCACTCTGCTTGGGCCGCCCCTTCCAGTGCAGTCCCCCAGCCTGTGTGGCTGCCTTCGCGAAGGCATGAGAAGGACTTCGGTGTCTTTCCCGGCAGGCAGAATGAGGCATTTGCACCTCTTCAGCTAGCTAGATTGCCTTCTGTAGGTAAAGGCACCTTGGTTTTCAAGTTTAGGGACGCTAGGTGGCAAGTGCATCTATCTGGGAAGGCCAGCCAGAGCCTCGCAGCCTGGCCAGTCGGGGCCACCCTTCCCTGTCACCTTGCAGCACTGACTGACCATCTGCTAGTGTCCCGTTCAGGCCTGGCCCAGAGTCCGGCTGCGATAGCATTCGCCACTAGTGACTTCCACAGTGGGCCTCTTCCCGGGTGTCTGTTGGCAGCAGCTTTTGTCCCCAGTTCCAGAAGGGCTCCTTGTTGACACCCTGAGGCCGAGTCGGTTCGGCACCTCCACTGACTGCCCATCCCTGTCGCGCTGCCCCTGGCTTCTCCCTCCCCTTGACTCCCAAGTATTCCATGTTCACCCCCCGTGGCAGCGGGGCGACAGCAGGCGGCGGTCTCCGCTGAGGTCCTGCAGCAGTGCGGGGCCGTGCCTTCTGCTCGCACTGCTGTCGTGACGGAGAGAGGAGGGCCCTGCCTGCACTGTGCTGGCCTTGGTGGGGCCTCTCCTCTTGAAGGCAGAAGTTCCGGGAGTGGCATTGCCACCTCGGCGATTCTCTCTGCCCACCGGCTGCGCGCATCCATGTCAGGGAGGCTGTACTGGTGCTGCTGAGGCCTTTTCCTTTCTCAAGAACAGTCGCTCTTGTAGCGCACCGGGGTCATCAGGATGAAGGGGTGGAGCAAGTAGGCCTGCATTTGCAACGCGCTAGAACAGTGCCAGCGGAACCCCCAGTGCTTCCTCTTCCAGCACACGGGCAGTCCGTGCCCGGTGTGCACCTGTTCTTTTATTGTCACGGAACACTAACTCATTACTATTGGGTTGGGAAATTTCAGAATCTGAACTGTACCTGGAACTCAATCTCTTTCATATTTTTTTTTTGTAGCTCTCTCTCTATATGGATAAGTTTGAAGAATTCCAGACTACTATGGCAAAAAGCAATGAACTGTTTACAACCTTCAGGCAAGAAATGGAAAAGGTATCTATGTTTTTAATAGACTGTTACACAAAACGGACTTTAGATACACTCTTTCCAGCATGCTTAACACTCGGATGAGCATAATGTTGTAACGCCATCTTCATTTTATCATTTCTGATTCTCCAGTGGAATGTTCGGTCGTTTCGACCTTGACGCATCCCGAGTAGCTAGCAATTGCTATGCTCTTAGAATTCTAAGCTACAACGAGTGCCTTGATTAAAGAGTTTGTTGTTAGGAACAAGGTGGCTTTTTGTTGTTTCAGTCACTTGGGAAGATCACTCCTCAGTCTTATACAAAATTCTGTCCTTGGAGATAAAAGACATCCATGCTTAAGAAGAATATATATTTCGCTATTTCTACCCTTTCTTAAACTTCGTTTTCTCTCACTTTTACATCCACTGCTTCTGTTCCCAAGCCAAACCTTTACTTTGGCTTCTGTTGCATTTTCCTGCCTCTATTAAACAAAGAGGTTATCTGTAATATCAAACTCCAGACCAAAATATTCGCACATTAAGACATACTGCAGTGAGCCCCCGCCCAGTGCTGTCCTGCCCCTGCCTCTGAGCACAACTGGCCTCTGGCAGCAGCTCTGGACTCCCGTGCTCAGGGTCTTTCCGAGGTACGCGTGCTATCCAACTTGGAAAAACAGGCTGTGAAAATACCCCAAGTGTCTTTGCCCATCTGATTCACCATGTCTGGCACCTTGTGACTTCTGGCCCTTCCCAAAGTCAAAATGACTGGGAAAGGCAAATTCAGGACATGGAGGGAGCTAGGACAGAACTAGACACTCATTAAAGAATTCTTCCAGAACTGTTCCACAAAGTATTTTCAGGGGGATTAATGGCAGTGGGTCTTGATACTGTAGTCAATTTTTTTTTTTTTTTTAGACAGGGTCTTACTGTGTAGTTTAGGCTGGCCTTGGACTGTGTAGCCCAGGCTGGCCTTGAATTTGCAACAATTCTCCTGTCTCAGCCCCATGAGCTATGGGATTATGATTACAGGCATGTACCACACTGCCTGGTTGTAATACATTTTTAAAAACTGAAACATTCACTATATCTTTTGATAACACCTCATTGAAACCCATGGCCTTTGTACTACATCTGTCACCCTTTTTTGAGACAGGGTACTAAGTTGCCCATTCTGGGCTTGAACTTGCCATCTGCTTGCCTCAGCCTCCGAGAGCCAAAATATATTATTCTGTCCACACATATCCATCCATTCTCATTTTACTTAGCAACTTCCCTTTCGATTGGAGGGAGGGTTTTGTTTTTCTTTTGAGAACACGATTTCATTGTGTTGCCCATGCTGGCCTTGACTTCTTCCTGCCTCAGCCTCCTAGGTAGCTGAGACTACAGGTGTATGCTACTACACCCAGCTAAAGCGAGTACTCTTTTTAAGAATGTTGAGGTGGCAGACATAACTGCAACCATATAAATAAATATATTAAGTGTATGTGGATTAAATAAAGTATAAGAAATTGCTTCTGAGAAATACAGTGGTGCTTGGTGCTTGTAAACATTTGGTAGATGACAGCTGTGACTTAGTCCTGTATAGTGGCTGGGTTCCCTCAGGGTGAATGGCCCCGCCCCGTTGTGTCACAGTGATAGTGGACAAGTCATTGAACTTGGCCTTGCCTCTCTGTGCTCCCAGACAGACCTGTCCTGAGCACATGTCAATGAGCTGGCCTGGGCTCAGGTCTCTGCCTGGAGCCAGCTGTAGACTTGTGGTCTGGCTGGTCCTCACGGGGGACCCTCTGGGATTAACAGAACTCGGGACCGGCCTATTCATGTTAGCAGCTACAGATCCTGTTCCAGGTTGCCAAGCTTTGTGGCAGTCACCTATGGCATGGGTACTGCCAGACTGGTCTAATCCCCTTGCCAAGCAGCAGGCCCGGAGCGGGGGTATGGGCTGCAGCCTGGACAGAGCTATCGCAGGGGTTTGACAATTCCCCCAAGTTTGGGGCCCCCTTGCTCTTCAGCCAAGTCCAAGGTAAAAGAGCACGGAGTTGTGCAGATACGTGCTGGCACTGCCTGAGGGGTACTTCGCTTTCCACTGCAGCCTGACCTGGAACTGACTGACACAGGTTGTGGGAAAGCACCACTTCATCCCTGTGGGCCTGAAAAATGTCCAAGGGGTTGAGTTGAAACCCACAAACATGGACATTTTTTGACACTACTGACAGAGGATGAGTTCTGGCCTCGCTACCCCAGGCAAAGTGAAGGCTCCACTCCAGCCTGAGCTGGAAGTTGAAGTGCACATTGCTGCCCCCACTGGAATCTGACTTTGGCTTGGCCCTAGGAACCTCTAAGCTAAGTTCTGCTGCCCACAGACAACAGCGTGCTATAAAGACAAACGCAGTGTTGAGAGGCGGCGTAACGTGTGTGTGTGTGTGTGTACAAACGCAGTGTTGAGAGGTGGCATAACGTGTGTGTGTAGCCCAGGCTGGCCTAGAACTTAGTGGTCTTCCTGCATCACTCTCGCAAGTGCAGGTGTGAGCCACCACACCTGGCTTCCAGACATGTTTGTTGTGGTGGGACAGGAAATAGATGTAAGAAATGGAATTTAGAGCTCGCTTAAACTTGCAATTATGTTGATTCACAGATGACAAAGAAAATTAAAAAGCTGGAAAAAGAAACAATAATATGGCGCACCAAGTGGGAAAACAATAACAAAGCACTTCTGCAAATGGCTGAAGAGGTGAGAGGGTTTCCTAGTCCTGGGGACTCATTAAATTCAGGTATCCTTCAGGGCAGGGGACATCACAGGTCGCCGCAGTCCTTCGTGGCAGGCAGTGAGTGTGAGTGGCTGGCCCTGAGGTGGCTCTGCCTTCTTCTCTACCAGATGCCTGGGCCCCAGCAGTGGTTCCCACCCAGGTTGGGGCTCCCGCCTCGGGTGGTGCCTTCCTTTGTGTTGTGGCGGTAGTCTTCCCAGAAAAGCAGCCAAGACTTGTTCCGGTTTTTTAAGGCAGTGCAAGCCTCTGAATTCCACATCTTCTGTTTGCTAGTCCTAGTGACAGTTTGAACTTCCTTAGTTCATCAGTGCAGAACGTTTTAGAAAGTGGCTTTTGCCAGCTCCAAGTAACAGGAGAGTGGGTTAACCTTGCCCCGGGAGCGGCACCCACCTCATCCCTGTGTAGCGTGTAGGCAGTGCCCGTGCCCCACAGCTGCCGAGACAGGCTTCACAGGGGGTGCACTCATTTTCTTGTGTGCGATGTGCTGACTTAGGCACAGAGGCTGCTGACTGGTTTATTTATTTATTTATTTTCTTTTTCTTTTAGAAAACTGTCCGTGATAAAGAGTACAAGGCCTTTCAGATAAAGCTGGAGCGGCTAGAGAAGCTGTGCAGGGCTCTTCAGATAGAGAGAAATGAGCTCAACGAGAAGGTAGAAGTCCTCAAAGAGCAGGTCTCGGTCAAAGTGGCAGATGGGGACTTGGTGGCACCGACACCACAGCCTTGTGCTGCCCTGGATGCTCACGAGGAGCCGAACACTTCCTCCCCAGGAGCCCCAGGCCTGCAACTGGAGGCCCAGGCCGC